AATGTTGGAAATCTACAGAAATAGAAATAATGTCTATTTGTAAGTATTTTATTGGCCTTCCTTAGTTTATATTTCCCATGGAACAGAGCCAGGATAGGGTAAAGCAAGTGAGGCCCACGGGGTGCAAAATTCACGGAGGCATCGCTCTCAGGCCTGACCCTGCCCGGCCCCCACAGCGGAGGAGCACCTCCTGAAACTCTGCACCCCACTCTCACCTGCAGTTACAGAATGACCGACCATTCTAGTTACTGAGCCAGAGTGTCCTTATTCCTTGGCTTTTCTGAATTGTAATAACCCAGGTTGTTTTTCCCCAGTGCAAAGTCTGATTTTGTTATGGCCCCAAAGGGGAATATCTGCTAACTCCCCTCTATTAGGAACAACAGTTTATAGACTGAGACAGGCATAAAGAAAAAAACACAATTTATGACTAGGACAAAGGAAACAAGTTTTTATAGAACTCTTTTTGCAGGGTGAATATAGAAGATGAGATGTAAAACACATTTTAAAGGACTTCAAAAGATAAAGTTGACCGGGGAGGGTGTTTAATCTGCCATTTGGGATTATTTTTCATTGGCTGTGTGTGAATCTGGAAGGCAGTTTTGAGCAGTCTCATTATGCCAGGTTCTCTGAGACACAAGATACCCTGTAAACCCTAGCACCAGGCGTCATCCACAGATGACTGAGGGCGGTTTTATGCTTAAATGTTTGCATTATAAATGGTTAGTGTATAAAATCTGTTCTGGGCTAAAGAAAGCCTCTCAGAGTTGAAACTCCTTTTTAAAAAAGATGATAAAATAAATATTTTGTCAAATATATTGATGGATTTTTCTTTCCTACATGATCCACTTGCCTGCTTGCTATATAGGCACTAGGTCTGCAATGACACGGGTTCCCTGAGAACCCACCAGTGACATTAATCAACATAGTGTTAGGAACTTGGGGGTTTTAAATAACTTTAAATCTTTGATTAAAAAAAAAGTAGAAAATGAAATCACAAGTTACCATACAAACACAACACAATATAGAATTTACAGTTAAGTTTTAAAGAATTCTATAGGTACACTATGGTACTTGTGTTAACTATTTTACAATTGTTATTTATCATCATCATCATTATCAATTGGGCTTTTCCCCCCTACCAGGCTAAAGGTAAAAAAAACCCTACATTTTTAAATTCCTTATATTTTTAGTTGATATGTAATAATCGTACATAACATATGAGATGTGGAGTGATATTTTGATGCATGTGTGCAATATGTAATGATAAAATCAGGGTAATTAGCATATCCATCTCAAACATTTATCATTTCTATGTGTTGGCAGCATTTCAAGTCCTCTCTTCTAGCTATTCTGAAATATGTAATACGGTGTTGTTAACTATGGTCACCCTACTGTGCTATTGAACATTAGAACTTATTCTTCCTATTTAACTGTAATTTTGTACCCATTAACCAACCTCTCCCTATCCTCCTCTCCCCTACCCACCCCACCCACGACAATTCTACTCTCTACTTCCATGAGCTCATTTTTTTTTTTTTAGCTCTGACACATGAGTAAGAACATGCAGTATTCATCTGTCTGTGCCTTGCCTGGTTTATTTCACTTAACATAATGTCCAGGAGGCTCATCCATGTTGCTCTGAATGAAAGGATTTCCTTCTTTTTTATGGCCGAATAGTATTCCGCATTTTCTTTATCCATTCATCTGTTGGGGACACTGAGGTTGACTCTGTGTATTGGTATTGTGAATAGTGCTGCAGTAAACATGAGATGTGGTGCCAGGATCTCTTCGATATCCTCATTTCTTGTCCTTTGGATAAATACCCAGGAGTGGAAGTGCTGGCTCCTATGGTAGCTATATTTTTAGTTTTTTGTTTGTTTTTTTTTTTCAAACTCCATTTAAAACTGGAACTTTGGAGAAGCTTCCTAGACTGCTCAAACCCTATGGGCAATGTTAAAATGAGCAGAGCTTTACCCTAGGACTAAATATTCAGGGTGAGATAAAGCTGAAGGGACTTCAAATAAAGCACATTAAAAAAAAATGTAGTGGTTTGCCATGGAATAAAAAGGTTTACTTGGGCTTTGCAAAAGTCACCCCTCTGGTACCCAAAGCAAAAGAACATCCTTTCATTCGTTCCCAGAAGACCACAGCCCTTGATGCCCTCCACATTGACACACTGGTTTACAGGAACCGTGGGGTGTCTGGTTCCCACGTAACGAAAGGTCAGGCGGAGACGCGGCATTTAGAGCGAGCAGAAGGCTGCAGCAGCATGATCTCCTGGTGCCTGCTTTTCTACGGGGTCTTCCTCCCTTCCACCAGCCCACCGGCTTCCCTTGCACAGAAGGGTCGATTGTCAAGGGGCCGTCCCAGGAGGAGTCTCCGTTCAGCAGCCTCAACCCCCCCGAGGCCAGAGAGGCAGTTCCATGGGGCAGCCCCCAGCTCGTGCAGGCAAAACCTGAGAGTTGCTCCAGGCCCCCACGTCCCTTTCCTATAACCGCAGCGCTTTCCCCATCCATCGGCCCCCTGCCTACCCAGGGAAGCCTCTCAAAATAAAAACACCTTCCTGTTAACAAAACCCGTTCCTTCCATCTCTCATCCCTACGCACTCCTGTACAAGCTTCTCTGTGCAGACGAGGACACTGCAGTTTAGCAAGTTTCCGGCCGCGATCCCGGACACGAACCTGGACCCCGACTCCCAGTCCAGCGACTTCCACTGTTGGAGGAGGCGAAGGCGCCAGAGGCCCCCCGCCCCCATGGCACCGTCCCACACGCCTCCGTTCTGAGGCCCAAACTCAGTTTCCTAATGCCTTTCCTCCCTCCCTTCACAAATCTTTTCATTGCTGTATTGTTGATTGAAGTTTATATTGTAGATTATTATAATAATTTTAGAAATCAAAAGAGATGAAGATTCACAGGTAGTCAATTCACTCGGTTGCACACAACCGGAACGCGGATGCACAGTCATTCTATGTATTGAATTTAACCCATCTTTTCGAGTGGAGACACATTGATTGGACAGATTGGCTCGACTGCGCGTCAGCGGTCCCAGATCCTTCCCCAGGCTCAGTTCCTGAGTCGCGTCGGAGAGGCACTGAGAGGCTCACTGCTCGGTTCTTCGCGCTCACTCCCTGCTCCTGCACGAACTGGAACTTGTAGTGAGACTTCGCCCGCCCGGTCGAGCCACGTGGGAGGGGAAGCGCAAGCCCTAGCCGTTCCTTACTCCGGGCACACGGGGGCGCTACATCTCGATGGCTACCGAGAAGGCGGCAAGACGACGCTCTTGCCCTCGGGACGTCGACGTGCCCACGTCCGGAGGGTCGCGCGCCCTGACCCGGAAGCGCGGGCATCACGTGGCGCGGCGTGGGCCGCTGCCTTGGAAACGCAAAGCGCACGCGCTCCCAGCTGGGGCTGCGTCGCGGGGGCAGGAGTCTCGAGGCGCGGGAAGGGGCTCCTTCCAGGACAGGATGCTGTGTGCCCGAAGGCTGGGCGGCCTTGGAGCCGGAATAGCGGCTTTACGGCCGGGGCGGGCGGGCAGGGGCATCCTCGGAGCCGGGATCCGGGCCCGGAGGGTCAGCACCAGCTGGTCCCCGGTGGGCGCCGCGTTCAATGTCAAGCCCCAGGGCCGCCGCTTGGACCTGTTCAGCGAGCGCCGGGTGAGCGGCGCGGCAGGGGGCTGTTCTCGTTTCCCCGAGCTAAGCAGGCCCCCTTCTCCGCGCAGCCAGCGGCGACGCGGGCTAGGTTGTCTGGGACTGGCAAGAGCCGGGCAGCGAGCCCACCTTGTACCGTGGGGTATCGTTTGAAGTCTTGTTGTCCTTGCTGGTCGCTTTCTCTTGGAGGGGCTGGATTTAAAGGGGGCTGGACTGGCGGCGTTTGGTGGTCCCCTTCCCAAAGTGTGGGGTCCAGGACCTGCCTCTGCGTGAACCCCTAGCTCCACGTGAATTTAATAGTTCGTGGTGGCGGTGAAGGTGGCCTGCCGGGTCCCGCCCTCCCCCTACACTCAGTCCCACCCCCTCTAAAGTTCACTTTTGCTCCAACGCTACGCTTATTACATAAGAGGCCTAGCCCTGTGCGTTCACATTCTCTATCAAGTTGTCTTTTTGCAAGGACACACTTGCCTTCAGTAGTGTAATAGTAATTTCCTTGATGCCCGAAATTCCATCACTCATTAATTTATTATTTCATAACATTGGGCTTTCTTGTTTTCTTTTAAAACTCAGAACTGTTGAGTCTGATTTCCTATAGGGCAATGGAGTTGATGACTTTGATTTTTTTTCCCAGGCAGTCGCTAGACTGAATTCTTTGGTTCTTATTTATTTCTGTATCCACCCTGCTTGGCACGGTGTCTAGCGTTTAGTAGACACTCAGTAATTATTGAATAAATGAATGAAAGATGAAAAGAAGGCAAACTTGGAAAGGACTTACCTGATGCCTGTTCTACTTTGCATTTGTAAATTCTGTTTATTTTAGGTTAAGGGTTACTTTTATTTTTGCCTTTTAAAATTTCTTCATTGTACGACTACCTTTCTTATAAGAAGAGTCTAAGTTGTGGTTGCAGTGAGCTTAAGGGTGTGTTTCTTATTTTGTCACCATCATTAGCTTTGTCTGTTTAAAAAAATTTTTGTGTGAAATTTGTTACACCAGCTGCCCTAGGAGTCTACTCTTAATGTTGGTGTAACATAGTTGGTGTTTTGAGAAGGACAACTACCTGGAGGTACTTGGGTTGATAAAATAAAACTAATTTTAGCTTTATTACTTTTTCATTTGTGCATTATGATTTTAGCCACTGATAACAGATTTTCAAATTTGTGAATCGGTTTTTGCCTAAAAAAAAAGGTTATGTAGCCTTTTTAGCATTACCTTGAGAGTCTGAGAGTTAGAATTCCTAAGAGCGGGATGGGGAGGTTGTACTGGGAAGTAGAAATGGCCTGTGCTTGGATCAAATTAAATCAGTGTAAAGATTAAGTTTATTTTTGGTCCTGATTCTACTCTGCTCCCAACTGTCTTTCACTTATTTTCTTCAACTGGTAATGTATTTTGAAGAGAGATTAACAGCTTAACTTCATGCATTCCTTCTTGTAGAAATAGTAGGCCTGATAAGGCCTGAAGTTTTACCTATTGGTGTTTCCAAAAATCTACATGTAAAGTACCCACAAAGTTAATTTATAACGCTTAGCGTCTGCTCCATCCGTTTGTTTCCTACGTTGAGTTAGACATTATGTTGGTTAGCTGGTTAAAGAAACGAAGGACAGGGTTCCTGCCTCTAGCAGTTCACCTTCTCAGGAGAGAAGACTTTCAAACAGATAAATCATTTAAAATTCAGTAATAAAGAGAATGATAATAAAGAACTATGGAAAAGTGTGGGCTTTAGAGATATACAGGGCAGGTTCAAATTCTGGCTTTCCCATTATTAATTCGTGACCTCAAACATGTGTTTTCTAACCTCTTAAAGCATGTTTCCTTATCCATAAAAGGAGAATTATATACAAAGTAACTGGCGCATTTCATGGCATGCAGTAGATGCATATTAAGTTATTGGTTTTTTCCTGCCTTCCTGAGTACTCTAACAAGTATAATTGAACTGATACAAGAGGATGGTCATTCCCATTAGATTTGTGATTTTTATTTTTGTCAAGATATTGAAATGCCTTTGGAAATATAAAATTTGCTGCCAATTTCAGCCTATGACTTGGTTTAATATGTTCACTAAATTTTTCTAACATGTCTACGTACTTGATAATCAACTGATCCACCGTATTTTATAGTTGTAGAATAATTGGTGCTGTGCACTGGGATCTTACTCTATGTCAGACATTCTCCATAGTACTTCACATATACTTTACCTCCGTCCATGCTGTGAGGTATGTATTGTCGCTTCCATTGTGCCTGCTGAAAAAATTGAGGCCTAGGAGGAGAAATAAATTGGCTGGGATTACAAGCTAATAATAATTATTATTGCTAACAT